GTAGGCCTATTTGCTGCAGCATAAATCGGTAAACAAGATCATCTGAACCACCTGATCTTTCAAGTAGTTTATAATGTTAAGAGAAAAACAGCCTTAAATCAAATTCTGCTTGTCGTAAACCACAGTACAACCGACCTTATCAGGTATACACAGATTTCTTTACAACATACGAGTATTATTCGCACCATAATTAGTGTAAACGCTAAAATCTTTAGACACACGCTGACAGCTATTTTGATACGACCACCGCGCTATTTAAACCTTACTGCTTGTATTGATCGCACGCCACAGGATTTGTAAGCAGTGTGCAGGCTTATGCCATTGTCTAAGCCGTTGATCTCAATAGAATAGTTAAACGTGTATTAAATTCAGCGTAAAGAAAATCTGTACGAATTAAAAACTATTACCAATAACAGACCTAAGAAAAACACCCCGAAGTACACTGGCCTCTTGCAGGAACAAAAGGGGCAAGAGCAGGAACAATAAGAGCACGATTCCCTCATGTGGCCCCCCACAAAAGAGGTGTAATAGGGCGTGTTCCAAACTTCATTTTAATCACTTTTAAATTCCGAAGTTAATTGGAAAGGAATTGGAAAGTTATGGTATCTATAATCGATATTTTCAGTTGGTATTTATAATGTAACATCAATTAATTAATTAGTTCAGGTAAGATTTTTTTTTTAAATTCTGTTCTCGGGTAATTAAGGTATTCAATACTATTATCTGACTATCTGTTATCAAAGCGCTCCAATGTGGCATTTGATTTGAAAACTTGTTGTGTAAATGTGCGTTTCTGATTTAAATATAACAAGTGTATAATTTATTAGTAACGGTAAAATCAGTATTTTTCACAATGAGAGCAATACCGTACTGCTAGTTTTCTCGCTGTCAAGCCCCATAGAATTATATTTTACACGAACGTAATAATTATGAAAGTACATGTAAATTTTAAACGGACGATTGTAGTGTGGTGTCAAAAATAACCTCATTTTCATCCTCAACAGTTTGTTACACGACGTTTACTATTTATTTGTATCTTGTCACAACAGATCTGTCACAAGACACTCGAATTTGGCGTATTACCTCACCTGAGAACCTATATGCTCAGATTCTTGTGAGCGAGTTCATGAATAAAGATGGACTCTTGACGTCGTCCTAGTAATCGACATCTATTCTGCTACGTTTGAACTATTTTTAACAAGTTCGTGTCTAAAACTATCTGAAACAAAGAGCGAGATCATCGCTTCAAATACCACGTCAATCGTCCGCCTTGATGGTCAATTTGTTACCGATTATACTTTTAACAGTAACTTTAAAATGGTAGGCCATACGCTCCCGTGTGACACGTGCGCACGGCATTATTCTAAGGATCAGTGCGCGGGTCTGAACAAAAGTGGACGAACTAAAGAATGTTGAAATCAGGATTTTTACATTTTAGGCCTAACGGATTTAACAGTGTGAATGCGGGCTCATCGAATTAACTCATGAGCTGCCACTTTAACGTACCAATAATGAGGAATGCGCGTCGAACACGTACAAACGCAAGAACTCTATCAATAGGCCTAACCAGATAAATATGAAGACGCCGTTGATTTGCTCATTACGAATATAATCAAACAACGTAAATTGCTGTCTAATAACATGGTGTGTATATCATTTTCTATGGCGACACACGACTCCTTCAATGTATTTGTTTTACTTCGCCGCAGGGTTATTAAGAGAAAAACACGAAAAAATTGAATCGGAAATGATCTTTTTTGTTGCAATTTTACGCTGATAAAGATTTGAATGGGTGTTTACAACCAAGAGTTAAATGGGGCGCGTTTAGCATTTGCTATAATACACCAAATTCAGGATGTTAAAGATTTGAAGAAGTGCCAGAAGCGATTTCGATGGAAGATTTTGTAGTTAAAGGATCCTGAATGATAATTTACGATATAAACAATTTCTTATCCCATATTTTTAATATTATTTCCGTTTTGCAAATACATGACTTGGCATCAAACTGCAAAGTCAGTTTTTTACCTGTACCCAAAGAATACGTGACGTATAGTATGCTTGTCCAAACCTTCAACAAGGTTTTTACAGACAAGTAAGAATTCTACTTCATAGAGTATTGGCTACCTGTACTCAATTAATAGTTATTGTTGGTATCCATATATTACGTGTACGGCGTTACGCAGCCAAGATATATA